TTTACAGGTTTGGACGAAATTAGGTGTCTACAATGAGTTGCTATGCATAGAGTTCGATTAACATGCATCATATGTATAAAAATGTTTTTAAGGATACAATATGGAATATACCGCTAGAGAAGGTCCCTTATGTAAAAATTTGGGAACTAACCTTGGAGATAAGTTGGTTTGAAAGTCTTATTCCTACCCTCATGAGAATGGGATGTATATTGTATGGCTTAGCTATCTCAATCAGACCCTGGTAGCATATCCTCCTAGTGAGAATGCATTGAAGGTGTGACCTAACATGTACTCTATGGCGTGATTGTTAGCGACTATACACAAGTGTGATATGTTATATTTTTACTGATGTCACATGTATGATAACATGTAGTTTGTGTCCATTACATAATGCATCTTAATGTTATGTGTTATTTAGTTATTACACTGTAAATGAATGAAATATGTTATATGTGGCGAAAATTAGTATTTCGACCTGTTAGGGTATGCTATGTTGTTTGCCTTTTAAATTATAAATAAAAAATAGATAAATGAATAGATAGTATAATTGTTCTCTTATCAATTATGCATTTCACCTATTCCCTATGTTCTCTATTATAAGAAAAAAAATTGATTTCACACATATTAAAGAAATTAGTTATATGCATTAAATTTTATTAATTTCATAAAATTATTCCTAAACTGACCTTATTATATGTGCAAAAACACGGTCATGCAATTGAAAAATTATGCATTAAAAGCGAGATATTTTAGGGAGAATATCATTAAATGAGGCAAAAGTTACTGAAATTTACTTATATTTAAAAACAAAAAAATGTATTTTTTTTTCTTATAATAGAGAACAAAGGGAGTGACTTTTAATTAATTTACACACGACAATTAATATGCATTTATTATGAAACAAAAATAAAAAAGAGAATAATAAGAAATATTAAAATCATTCTATAAAAAATAAATTTTAATTTTTTTTAGTTCTTATAGTCTCATTTAATTTATCTTTTAGTCTATATATTTTAAAATAGACTTTTTAATTTATATATTTACATTATTTTTAGAGTTAATCACCTATACACTGTCAGTGTAAAGTTTTTTTACACTGACAACTAATTATATCTTTTAATAATACCATGTCAGTTGCTTATTTATAAAATAATTATAAAATAAACAACTTTAAAACATATCATTAGTTGCCAGTGTAAAAAACTTTACACTAGTAGTGTATAAATGATTAACTCTTATTTTTATTTCTCTTTAGTCCTTGTTAGTTTATTTCTAACACTATTAAGTATAAGTAAAATGAACTTATTAAATTTATATATCAAATGATATATTTAAATTTGTCGAACATAATATATAAGAAAAATCCACATTCCAAATTCAACCGGCTTGATTTTGACAAATCTTGGACGTCATTATGTACCAAAAACTTGGTTAGTAGACCTGCTGTCATTAATTATCCCCTGATTTATTTAGAACACTGTTTGTAGTGAGATAATTAATTAAAGCAGTGATGGCTAAATTTGAAATTATGATGGCCATTTACATGCCTTGAGGCCTATGATTTTAATAGAAATAGAAACACAGAATAGGATTGTTGTTGAATTTAATGTGAAAGGTTAAAAAGAAGTAGAATGCAATAAATTCCAGAGCTGTTAGATTTATAATGAAATTTGATGTCAAAATAGTAAGAATTAGTTGAGTAAGGAAAGTGTGTTATGGCACTTATAAAGTTGTACAGAATTCAAATTTCGGTGTTAAGTTCCACACTTCATCTTTTGAAGTCATACTTAATTGCAACTATTTTCAAATATATAATTTATTCATTTAATAATTTTATTAAAATTATAGAGGTTTCATATAACTTTTTTTATTATTTATTTCTCTTTTTTTCCTCTGGTTTGTTTTTCTTATCACTTTTTTCTCTTTAGCTCTCTCTCATCTTTTATTTTCTCACTCTTTTTTCTCTCTATCTCATCCTTGTATCATCTTTTCTCTCTCTCTCTCTCTTTCATGATGTTTTTTTTTTTATTTTTTTTTCATCTCATTTCTCTTTTTATTCATCTCTCTCATTTATTTCTTTTTCTACTTATTCTTTTCTCTATTTTCCTCTTGTCCTTATTTTACTTATCACTATTTTTTGTTACATTTTTATCTATCAATATTGATATATAATTTATCAATATTTTTTAATTACTAATATCTAAAATTATTTTTAATTATTAAATATTATATATTAATTTTTTAAAAAATTATTAAAGTTTAACAAATGCTTATTTTTAATAAAATTTAATATTAAAATATCAAAAATTTAAACATATACTAAAAATATATTTTGACAATTCTACCAATTAATAAATATTATAAATTTAAATATATTGTTCAAATTTAATATTATAAATGCGAAAACATTAGAAGAAAATATGTAAAGAAATGTTATTTAAGAGAACATGAAACTAAAATCAATTGTTTATCAAAAGATTAAAAAAAATACTGATTTTATTTTCTTTATTTAAACCTTGTCATTTATGTAAATGTTTTTTTTTTTAAATCTATATTGTCCTTTGAAATATAATAAAATACTTTTAAATCTTATAAATTCTTAAGATACAAATCCATTAAAATCCATGTTACAAAATGTTAGATTAAAAAAATATTTTTAAAAATCTTAAAAGTCAATAATTCCTACAAAATCTTTTAAAAATTCACAATATTTCTTTATACTAAATAAGTCTTATGAAATTTCAATTCATATACCTCTCCAAGGCATATTCCTGACATGTGATTCCTTATTAATACATAACTCAAAACATAGTGGTTGAGAGAAGGTATTAGAGTAGAAGCAGGAGGAACTAGGTTCGATTCTTATCATGTCTATGTAATTCGTATGAATTAAAAAGAGTTGGAAATTAGAGAGTGTAAATAAAGGTAATATGATATTTTACTACATCAAAACATTATTTTTACCATGGAAAAACTTGTTTCTCACCTCCCTATGAGAATGATTCCATTGAAACTTATGAGTACAATGTGAAGAATTAGAAACGCACAAATTTTGAGTTTCATATTTTATATTTTATTAGTATTTTAACATGTGAAATAGATGGATTAAATTTTTATTATATATAACTAAAATTTAAAATAAATTACATATATAAATAAATATTATGATTAAATATATAAATTATATTTAATATTTGAATATTAATACATAAATGTTTTAAAATATATAAATATTATTATTCAATTATGATAAAAATATTATATTATAACACAAAATTATTTTTACTTATTGATAATTTATTTTAAGAATATTAAAAATTTGAATTCATAAATAATTATGATAAACAAAAATTGAATTAGATATAAAGTTGAAAGAATTTTTAAAAATTCTCTTGTCGTAGAAAAAGTTTTAAAAATATTTTCATGCAAGATAATCGTTCATATTTTATATATAAAAGTTGATTATTGGTTTATACATAAGACTATTCACCGCTCATAGGCAGTGACTAATCTTCTCGTTATGTTGGAGGCACCTCAAAGGGTGGGATAGCTTGTCCCAAGATTTAACGCGGCTGCATATACAACGCAGGATTCAAACCCCTCACCTTGCTTAAGCGTGGATCAACCCCTACTGCTAAACCATACGCTTGACCTTGCTTAATATTTAATTCATAAATAATTTTGATAAATAAAAATAGAATTAGATAAGAAGTTAAATTTTTTTTACAAATCCTCTCAATAAGAAAAAAACTCTCACGCAACATAGTGATTTGTGTTTAATATATAAGAGTTGATTTATATTGCATCACAAGATTATTTTTGTTCATTAAAAAATATTTTAAAAATATTAAATTTGATTTCTAAATAATTATAATAAATAAAAATTAAATTAAATATGAAGTTAAAAAAGTTCCTAAAAATTCTTTCATCGAAGAAAAGTTTATAAATATATTTTTGTTTAAAATAATGATGATAAAAATTTATTTTAAACCTTTATTATCAAAATTTAAATGTTAACATGTAAAATAAAGATTTTGAATAAGTTTCAAAATGGATAGGGGTGCTCAAAATTTATTTAAACTTCTAAAGTTCCCAAATATATTAATAATTTATAAATGTTGAAAATTTCTTTTATGTGATATTGAGAGTCCTAAAATGAGAAAGATATTATTAAAAAGATTGTTCATCTCTCCTAGAAAATGTAATTTTTATTTAGAAAAGGAATAAAGTGTATATCCTTCTAACTCTTAAAATGAAGATATATTGTATTTTTCTTGAAGAATGAATATAATTTGACCGTTTCAATGTTCAGGAAAAAAACAAGTTACCCTCAAAATGGGAATGGGATATACACGACGTGTGTTAACAGCGGTCTCAATTACAAACATGGACAAATTTGTAACCGTGCACGATAAGTTTCAAGAGAAAATAAAAAATAACATTCCTTAATACATTTTTTAATCATAATATTAACATGAAGTTGATTAATTTTTATGAGAAAGTTGACTGTCAATTTTAATGATATTCTTTTTTTTTTTCGATTACCTTTTTTTAATTCGTAAAATCTTATTTAAAAAAAACCAAATCTAATTATACTCAAAACAACTTCTCATAATAAAATACACTTTTATTAACGGATTCTTTATTATTAATTAATATTTGTTAAAATTTTAAAAAAAATGATCTCACTTTTTATTTAACAAAGATCATTAATAATTTTCTAATTTTAAATAAATTTAAACTAATTAAAGAGTGTAAAGTATCAGGGTTCGAACAACATTAGGTCTAAAACTAGCATGATTTGTTGAACCATCCCAATCACTTTCTTCAGCAAATCGTATCCTCGTTGTACTAACTAACATGAGTTTTCTATTATCATAATAAACCATTAGCACTGAGGTCAAAATCATATTTAATGACAAAGTTATTTTCCTATAAAAATCTCTTTCTCAATGCTGAATGTTGATATAAATTTCCCCCCAAAGCAGAGACAATTGGAAGTAGAATTATAGCAAAGTGAACATTTTCTCTTGTGAAAATGTGGATTGGCAACAAAATAATCATCCTTCTAACTCTGCTGTGTTTCTACGTAATTGGAATCAATTCACTACAAAATGAATACAATTTTGTTGTGAGTTCTGTTACATCTTAAATCATTTTCTTCCTGCATCATCATCTTGACAATTCTTGATTGATTTGTTTGTTAGTTTTTCTACCAACTTTTGTTGCATGAGATTGCATGCTGAGTAGTTCCTATTGAAGTACATGCAGAGTTACTGTTATCTATATTATATATTAGTTCATGGTTCACTTTTTATAGTATAGTAAATAGTTAATTTGATAACTGTTGTAGGTCAGAGAAGCTCGTTATACAAGACTCTGCAGCACAAAACCCATATTGACAGTGAATGGACAATTTCCAGGGCCAATTATTAGAGCCTACCATGGTGAAACGGTATATGTGAATGTTCACAATAAGGCAAAGTTCAACATCACCTTGCACTGGTATTGATTTCCTAACCATAAGTGCTTTGATGTTATTTGTAAGAAATAAAATAAGGGCCTCAATTTTGAGTAAAAATCGATATTTATTCCGAGTGATGATTTTAGTCCTTTATAAAACTCATATACTAAAGGGACAAAATTCATGACTTATAAAAATATCATAACCAAAATCATTGTTTTTAAAATATAGAGATTAAAATGCTGTAAAATTAAAATAAAAACACAGGATTTATCAATTTAAACCAAAATTGAAAAGAATAAAATTTACACATAATAACATAAGTTTTATATTCTTCTCTTCAATCAAAATTAGAGTTTCACGTAATATATATAATGAAGTATTTCACAAAACATTAACGTGCATTATTGAAATAGAACTTTAATTCTAATATCTCAGAAATTACATATATGTTTTGTTTGACATAAATACATTTTTCTCATAAAAAATGGGAAAGACATTAACTTTACAACATTGTACCTGAATAACTGATATGAGGAAAGGCATGGAGTGAAACAACCAAGGAATCCATGGTCAGATGGCCCTGAATTCATCACTCAGTGCCCCATAAAACCTGGAGGGAAGTTCAGGCAAAAGTTGATTTTTTCTATTGAGGAAGGGACCATTTGGTGGCATGCTCATAGTGATTGGGCAAGAGCCACTGTCCATGGACCTATCATTATTTATCCCCAACCGGGTACATCCTACCCTTTTCCCAAACCGGATGCAGAAGTACCTATTGTATTAGGTATGAAAATCCTTTATACTATTCCTTTACCCTTTTAAGTATTTACTTTTACTTATTTATTATTATTGGTGTACACAGGAGAATGGTGGAAGAGTGAAGTCAAGGATGTCTATGATGAATTTCTCAGAACTGGAGGAACCCCAAATAACTCTGATGCTATAACTATAAATGGTCAACCTGGTGACCGTTTTCCCTGCTCAAAATCAGGTAAATGTCAAGATTTTATTTTACATTCATCAACACTAGCATATCATGACATAGCATATCTAGGTGTCTTATTGTCTATACTCAAGGAAAGAAAAATTATGAGCAAATATACAATTTAGTCCTAACAAGGGGCAACCTGTATTAATTTAGTCCATGAAAGTTTGTGTTTATGCAACCTGGTGTCTCAATGTTACATCATAACAAACAAAAATGATTGGTGAACACCTAACCACGTATTTGACACTTGGTGAGAGAAAGATATAAAAAGAGAGAAAAGTATAAATATCACGTGATATGATGTAATAAGAAGAGATAAAGAAAAATGATAGATATTAACAGGTGTTTAGACTTTAGAATAGTGAGGTGTCCATTGATCGTTACTTCGTAACAAATTAGTCCTGCCTCAATGAAATTGACCAAATTTGAGGAACAAGTTCAATGAAATGGAGTAATTAGTCAAGTAGTTAACACGTTTAGGGATTAAGTTATATACTGAATTTCAAGGAGAAAATCAATACATATAACCACTTTCAAGAATGAAGCTATAAATTTACTCAATCTAATTATTTGTTTTTTATAGACACAAGTATTTTCATTCCTCAATCACTAACTCCACTTTTGAACTTCAGATACATTCAAGTTAAATGTACACCGCGGCAAGACTTATCTTCTGCGCATTGTCAATGCTGCACTCAATCTCAACCTCTTTCTCTCTGTTTCAAAGCACAATCTCACAGTTGTTGGTGCTGATAGCAGCTACAGCAAGCCAGTGACAAGAGATTACATATGCATATCTCCAGGACAAACTGTTGATGCATTGTTGCATGCCAACCAAGAGCCTAATGACTACTACATGGCTGCAAGGGCATATTCAAGTGCAGTTGGAGTTACCTTCAATAATGCCACAGCCACAGCTAGGATCCACTACAAAGAGAACCATACTCCAACTAAATCTCCTTCATTACCTTATCTCCCTCCCTATAATGACACACAAGCAGCATTTGACTACTATCGTAGCATCAAGGGCTTACCTGAAACATACCCTTATAAAGTCCCTACAAATATCACCACCCATTTGATGAACACCCTTTCAGTTAATACAGTTCCATGCTCTGAAGGCCAAACCTGTGCTGGACCAAATGGAACAAGTTTTGCTTCTAGTATGAACAACATAAGCTTTGAATCCCCCAACATTGACATCCTCCAAGCCTATTACTACCACATCACTGGGGTGTATGACAAGGGATTCCCTAGGTCTCCTCCATTGGTATTTAACTTTACTGCAGAGTATTTGCCTCTAGTACTTGAGATACCAAAGAAACGAACCAAGGTTGCAATTATTAAATATGGTTCAACAGTGGAAATTGTTTTCCAAGGGACAAACTTGGTCGCTGGGATAGACCACCCTATTCATCTTCATGGCACTAGTTTCTACGTTGTTGGATATGGGTTTGGGAATTTTGACAAACACAAGGACCCCATGACTTACAATCTCGTTAATCCTGCTCTTGCAAATACAGTACTAGTGCCTAAGAATGGTTGGGCCGCCATAAGGTACAGGGCTGCTAATCCAGGTATGTGTCATGAAAAAAGTTGCTCTTTTTAATTATTATTTTAGAATAAATGCATACTTTGATCCCTGAATTTAGAAGGTAGTTTCACATTAATTCCTAAAATGAAAAAAAATTATCAAATCACCTCTTAAAATTTTAAATAAATCTTTAAATTTAATTATTTATTATCATTTTAGTTCTTAAATAAATAAATTAATATTATCATTCTAGTCACATATATTTTGAATTTTAAGTTAAATCACTTATAAGTTTGTACTTTCAAAAACTTATTTAATAGTTTCTTAATTTCAATAACTAATTTGATGGTCTCCCAAATTTAGGGATCAATTTAAATATTTACTCGCTATTTTCATTTTCATTTTCTATGTTCATATATATATATATATATATAAAGAAGAATGTCATTGATACCATAGTTTTAAAAACCGGACCGGTCATCGAACCGGTTAAGGTACTGGGTCAGTGGGTCAAAGGTTGAACCGGTGGGTCACTAGTTGAACCGCATGACTCGATTTTTATTTATTTTTATTAAAAAAATATTCATATTAAATATATTTTATACTTATAAATTTTAATAAATTCATATCTTATTTTAAATTTCAATTTTTCTATCTTATTTAAAATTATTTTTATTTTTATTTTGTAAAAAAATACATAAAAAAATTACATGTTAAACGGTATATTAATACAAATTAAAAATATAAATAATATGTACATATATAATATGCTTGCAATTAATATCACAAAATAATATATGTAATATTTACATAGATATTGCATTATTAAATATATAATTTAAAATTAATAATATACTATAAAAGTTATTTAAGTTGTATATATTGCAAACAAATATATTAGAACAAGTAGTCATTGTTATATTTAATAAGACTCCTTGCTTTTTCATTAAGAGATTCAATTTTCATTATTATTTTTGTGATTTATGGTCCCTTAAAAAAATTTAAAAAAAAATAAAAAAAAAAAGTGGTTGAACCGGTTTGACCCACCGGTTCACCGGTTGAACCGGAAAATTGACCGGTTCAATCCGGTTTGAAACGGGTCGACTGCATAACCGATCCAACTTCAGATTCGAACCGGCTGGACCACCGGTTCCCGGTCCAACCGGTCCGACCGGCCGGGTCGGTCCGGGTTTTAAAACACTGATTGATACATTATAATACTTTCTTTATTATCGACCGAAATTTATTGAAATCAAGAGTGTGTGGGATTTCTCTTATTGCTATTTTCATTTTTTATTTCTATGCTTATATAGATAATTAATTAATGTTGCATGAATTCTGAACTCTATTTTAGGAGTGTGGTTTGTGCATTGCCATCTAGAACGTCACCTCTCTTGGGGCATGGAAACACTGTTTATTGTGACGAATGGAAAACGAAGTGATGAAAAATTACTACCTCCACCTCCAGATATGCCCCGTTGTTGAAGAATATTTTGTAGTTCCTTGCGGAGAATATGTTAATGTAATAAACATATATATTGCCACATGAAACTATTGGTAGCTATATAAATTAACCTAGTTAGGCATAATTAGTTTTACTTATAAGATGGTTGTTTTTATTTTTATTTTGTTTAGGTATAAAAAGTTGGTCGAATGGATAATGACATGTTGGAACGACTGAATGTTTTATCTCAGGCATTGGGGAGTGTAATTGAAAATTTAATAAAATAAATTTTTTTACCTATTTTCAGATTTTATTATAATTTCAATGCCTATTTTATTTTTATTTTTTAATTTTCAGTGGTTTATGTTTTTCTTTTTCATTAACATATCACCGATATCTATTTTGAGTACCCAATGCTCATTTAAGATTGAAAAATATTGTAGTACTCTCTATCCCACATGCTATAATACAATATAAAATTAAATAATCTCAATATAATAAATAAATTTAAAGTTTACACAAGTAGAGAGAATAATCTTTTAACATAAACTAGACTTAGTAGAAATAATAATTACAACAAAAATAAAAATTAAACTATTCAAAGTAAATAATAAGAATCAAATCCTAACTAGTTTTAACTAATTCTTTGGTGTCACGAGTTTTATCAAAGCAAAATTCAATGTTGAGGACTAAGTCTCATCACCGCATCCTCAATATCATACCGATGATTATTTGTAAAAACTACAAGAAGACAACACGAAAGAAAAGGGAGTGAGAAACATCACACTCTAGTTCACGGTGCAAGAATGCAAACCGATTAGCCAAACACAAACACATACAGTATAATATAGCATAGACAGTTACACATCATCATATTTAACTCATTCATAGCATAGTAAACAATTACAAATAAGATTATAATACATATGTAATGGACATGGACTACATGTTATCATGCATGTGGCCTTAGTAAATTACACTTGTGCATTGCCGCTAGCAATACACGTAGAGTAGTATATGAGTCCATGTTGGGTCACACCCTTTACGTACTCTCACCAAAAGGACATACTACCAGGGTTTGGTCAAAATAGTTAAGCCGCGCAAGATACATCCCATGCTCACGAGGGTAGGACTAAGACTTCTAAACCAAGATATCCTCAAGGTTGGTTCCCAAGCTTTTACACAAAGGACCTTCCTTGGTAGTGTATTCCATATCATACCCTTTAAAAAAAATTTATGCATATTGTGCATGTCAAACAAACTCTATACGTTACATTCACATGGTTTTACACCATAACACGTCACACATCTTATCACAACATATCATGGCTAAGTCTCGCTTAGGCATCTCATCATATGACCTTCACAAGATCCATATATATCATATGCATCAATGTCAAAGCACATCAATCAATTCATACATAGCTCATAGTATGTCATAACAATTACATACTCACACACTATAACTAGATATTAAGTAATACAATGATTATACAACATCATCCAATACACCTCAAGTAAGAATCATTATGAGATAGTTTAATTATATGTTAGCACCTTAACCATAGCCACTGAGATCAATGTCGCTAAGAATTTCTAAAAACTTTATCATTGTCACACATGAAGTCCTTAGATATCGCTATTATTATAACACCTTAAGTCATTAACAATTAACTTATATCATAACCTATTAACAATTATTTTCTATCATAATTCACCATTCCTAAACATTTATATAAGTACCTCAAACCATTCATAAGATCAAACACTTAAAGGGTAAAGTTATTCATCATTCTCATTACAAACTACATTTTCACAACTTAACTTTATAAGACATCGTGTGATCCAAATGTCATATCTATAGCTATATATGATATCAAGTTGATTTAAATTTTATTACAAAGCTAATATAATTATCTTTGAATTCTATGCTGACCTCAAGAGCTAAATATGTCATCTATTATTTTAAATAAATACAAAATCGCAATGTTTCAGCCTAAATTTGACACCTTGACCTTTCTCATTAATTTGATCATAACATGAGTTCTAGACCTCCTTTTTAGGTGATTCCAACGAAATTTGAAAGCTAACATCCAAGGATACAACTTGAAAAAAGATCACAAAACCTAATTTTGCCATTTAAGTCTATTAGAAAAGCTTACAATGTACGCAAGTTATATTTCATGCACAGAATATGAGGTTCATCTTTTAATTCACATAACTTAGTCATTCCTTAACATTTTATGTAATTCTTGAGTTTAAAATGTATGTATACTTTCTAATCCAATAATAAGAACTCAATTTCATTCATCACACATAGAGAAATTAGATAAATACTTAGGTATGTCCATACCAGAATATTTAGAATCTGACATAACTCACACCTAATTTTTTTTTTCTTTCTAAATCATATTCATAAAAACTCTCTATAGGTTATGTTAAACTTCTAAAAGACACAATTTATACATATAACTACAATCAACTATGCATTCCCTTAGGTTTCCCAAGAAACCCATAAAGATCTTAAATCATACAATTACAATCTCAAAACATGGAATCAATTATCCATTCAAGCAATTCATACAATTAATTACATACAAGAAGAATAAAAAGTGAAACAGACACAATTGGAGAAAACTCCTCAGACATGAGAATACAACAAACACAAGGTTGGGGCCTAATCCACTACCTAACATACAAACCCACACCTAGAATGAGGTTTCTCACTCTTCCTTACTTAGATAAGCTCTGGATGACAGGTGCACGACTTTGAGGTGAGAGTAATTTCCTTCTTTCTCCTATTCTCTAAGCTCTTAAGTGTATACGTGAAAATAGAGGCAGAAAAAGGGTTTGATAAAAAAACTCATCTTTAAAGAAAAAACCTAACCTTCCTTTAACCCTCTAGTTAAAACATATTAACTATAGTTATCCCGAAGATCCATTTCCTTTTTAATAAAATATTATATTATTCTTTAATAAAATCATATAATATATTCTAAAATATATTTACATAATTAAAACAAATATTTAACAACTCTTATTAATAAATAAAAATATCAAAGTTATTAATAAAATATTTATATTATATTTTATGAAAAATGAGGTGTTACAACTTTCCCCTCCTTTTAGAAATTTCATCCCCGAAATTACCTAAAGAAAAGAAAAATGGATACACTTCCTACATCTAACTTTCTAACTCTCACATAGCACTTTCTTTAACATTTCTTCCCTAAGCATCCTTAAGCAAAGGAATTTTCTCACCTCTCAACTATTTCACCCTTTTATCCTTAGTTCTCAAAGGAACAGTTTCATAGGTGAGTTTATTCTTCAACTGAATGTTGTCAGACTCAACAACATGGGATGAATCATGAATGTATTTTCGAAGTTGGGAAACATGAAATACATCATGAAAATTATAAAGGAGTTGTTGGTCAAATAGCCTCGTATAACTTAAGAGGGGGGTGAATTAAGTTTTTCAAATTTTCCTCTTACAAAACTTTTCCGAATTACTTTCTTACAAATTCAATTCCTTAGATAAATTTATATGTAAAGAATGAGTGATGATGCAAACTACTCAATCACATTTAATAACAAGTAATTAAAAAGTGTAGAGAATGAAGAATTGCAAACTCAATTTATACTGGTTTGGCCAATCCTGCCTACATCCAGTCCTCAAGTCTCCCACTTGAGATTTCCACTATTCTTGTAACTCTTACAAGACTTGAATCCTCCAACACCTTGGAATTTCCTTTCCTTGTGTTGAGATTCAAAAACCAACAAGGAGAAAAACCCTTTCTCCTTTATAGATCAAATGATCAATTGAGTATAATGTAGTAACTCTCTTTGAAGAGTAGATTTTACACTTTGATGATCTTAAAGAACTCTTCAGAGATTTTTGAAAATGACTTTGGGCAAGTAGTTTTTTTTAATATATTTACATTTGAGTTCGTAACCTTCTTCTGAAAAATTATAGGTATTTATAGACAATAATTTCTTGGGTTGTGTCTTTTCATGAAGAGTTGTAACTCTTTATAATTTTTCAGAAAAGATACTCTAGTAATCAATTACAAGACTTGGTAATCGATTACAATGATTTATAAGTTCAAAATGTTTGAAACGTTGTATCATTTAAATTCAAATTTTGAAGTTTCATCTTCTGGTAATCGATTACAAGGTTTGGTAATCGATTACCAGAACACATTTTGTATTCAGAATATGAACTTTGAAGTTTCCTTTTGTTTTGGTAATGGATTACAAGGTCTGGTAATGGATTACTAGAACATATTTTTTCATTGTTTCAAAAAAATTTATGTAGAAAACTTCATATGAATAATTTCTTTCACAAATCTCTTTTAAGAAATGATTTGAATTATTCTTTAAAGCTTTTGTTAAGTCTTTCAAAAACATTTTTACTTACTTTAAAAAGATTTAAAACTTGCTTAAATTTAAAGAGATTAATTTGAGGTTTTTGAAAACTTATTCTTAAGGCCAAGCATACTTGCAATTCTAAAGGATTCTTTTACATTCTTAGCTAAGTTGACAAGACTTATCTATGTAACACTTGAGATCTTGTTCTTGCATCAACTTGCTTTAGCTCAACCTTGATTCTTCTTCAATGCTTTATAATCACTTTGGCATCATCAAAACATTTGTGCATATTTTCTTCCACAGAAACGAAGGCAAAACAGTTTGGTAAACAACATTACCAATCTTTTTAAGGATTTTGCAAGGACCAATGAATGATGGAGTAAGCTTACGAGATTTAAGTACTCTACCAATTCCAGTCTAAGGAGTTACCTTAAGAAATACATGGTCTCCTTCTTTAAACTCAAGGTTTTTCCTTGTCTTATCATGGTAGCTTTTCTGCCTACTTTGGGTTGCTTTCATTTGATCCTAGATTAGTCCCACCTTCTTAGTAGTTTGTTGAACTATCTCAAGTCCTAACATGAAATTCTCTCCCGGTACTACCCAACATGAGGGTGTTCTACATCTCCTACCATAGAGTGCCTCATAGGATTCCATCCCAATACTGGAATGGTGAGTATTATTATAGGAAAAATCTATCAAAGGTAGTTAACTATCTTGACTACCCGTATATTCTAAAACATATGCTTTTAACAAGTCTCCTAAATAATGTATGGTTCTCTTAGTCTGACCATCTATTTGAGGGTGATATGTTGAACTCAACCTAAGTTTGGTACTTAAAGCCTTACATAAGCTATCGCAAAATCTAGAGGTAAACCTCAAGTCTTTATC